ACACTAACAAATGGTTAAAAGTAGCTGAGAAACCGGCGTTTAAGCGATTACCAAGCGACAATATAATAAAATAACTAATCATTAGAATGACACTTATTAACTATAGGGGCTGCCGAAAAATTAATACAAAATAATTTTACTAACTCTCTCATACCTGTAAAAATGTAACAATATGTTTTGGTAGTGGAACCCAACACTAAGATCATCATAGTGGAACACTTTCTCTGTTAGAAGGTCGACTTGATTCGACACAAGATGTCGTAACTGTCTGTCATGAATGCACTATTGTAGCAACGTATCGGCCCGGACACACGTCTCATTGTTAACAATTAACGGATATGTTGAGCTAATTGACAGATAAGTTTACATTGAATTAAATGCACTATAACATATACAGAAAAATTAAACAATGACTTCACTTTGTTGTTGAAGTTAGCGGTATTTCCAAACCAATACGACTTAGGGTCCTTCAGGAAGCGAGCCTACAATTTCCTCAAAGGCCGGCAACACATCTGTAGTTCCTCTGGTGTTGCGGATGTCCATGGGCGTCGTTGACCACCTCTGTGTTCCCGCCGCTCGTTTGCCCCCTTATGATTTAAAAAAAAAACTTTAAGATAAAACGCCACAGATTTATCATAAACAACATAGAAAGAAACAAATCTTAATGTTATATGTTGTTTTCATAATAATACTGTACTGTAATTAGTCAATTAACCTTTTCCATAAACTGCAGGACAGAAAACACACGGGGAAATCCATTCATGCGAAAGCATTAAAAAGTCGCCTTTAATGTTAAGGTCCCAGACTACTCACTATTATTATTAAAATTTAATTAACTGTACAAACAAACTTTCGTATTATGTTTACAAGAATATTTGTAGCAAATCAATAATTTACAGGTGAGTCTATAATCCCAGACCACAACTAGATCATGCATGTCAAATGAACAAACATCGTCCTTTGAGATAATATTGCGTTAGTACTCAAACAAGATGTGTCTGTATCCAATGTATTAATGTGTACGGTTTTATTTTTTTTTGCTAATGTTTAGCTAACTTTAAATTATATAAAGAAACATTGGTACTAGAAGTTTCGATCGTTTTATAATAATTGTCACTTGTTATCATTATGTCTATTATGGATTCAGATATGACGGCTGATAGAGATGTATGGAAGAGCAACACGTACTGTGCCGACCCTCCATAAGGGATAAGGGCAAGTTGATGATGATGAGTTATCATTATGTCTAAACCTCATCCAACTTCTGCAATTAAGGGTAGGAAATGCATCTGCAATTGCGACTGTGTTTGGACAGCGGTCGCTTCGCCTTTTCGGAGACTTCAGGTGGCGGATCGCTCGACATAAGAGGTGTCAACGCATACAGCCTAAAGACTAATGTAATTGAACAGTCGAAATAAACCAAGCGATTCGTAAGAGCTCACTTGACGAGTATAATGAACTTTAAGTAATTTTGCCCAACGCTTTGGGCGCTATCTGCTAATGAAAACGGCTCTCATGCAGGAACAGGAAATCTCTCACACCACCTATGCTATAACGACAGAATTATGAACTAATAAATATTCACCCTGGTGCATATTGCTTGCCGGAACTATAATTCCTAACCTTAACATTCGTTTCAGTATTGTGAAATAGTTACATTTCTCCCTTAGGCATACAGTTAGTTTAACCGGCGGCGTGTCAAACCGCAAACGTTTACATTCAAGTTGCCGAGAAAACTGAATAGAATTCACTCTTGGCAAATTCCTAGAGCTCCTTACGACCCATTGTGTCGACCATTCGCGACAAAGTAACGCAAGGAAGTAGGAAGGTACTGCATTATTTGCTGACCGCTAAAAGGCCATTGTAAATTGAGCTTATGAAAATCCAACAGTTGCTGATATGTAGCAAATATTCAATATGTTTAGTAGATTTTGTTTTACTTTTTTGTGTTATATTATAAGGTGGCAAACGAGCGAGCACCTGAATACGCCGAAATGGCGAAGCGACCGCTACCCGTAGATATCCGAAATTGCTAATGCGTTGCCTACCCTTAATCGACCGAAGAGGAGACGCACATGAATGGGATATTTACCCTTCCTATGCGCCTCCTCCAACGTCAAATCCACTTTTTCTTCCCATCCTTTCGTCTTAAGAAATGGGTGGGAAGGAAAAAAGACTAAACTTAGGCTTCCGGTACCACATACATCAGACGAAACGCGGAATTGCTGCCACATCTTCTGTTTGGTCGTGGTATTACACCTGGCGAGCCGGCCCATTCGTGAGATGTTAAAGCGGGCTCTACCACTGTTAAAATATATATAGAAATAAAAATAGAATTCAAGAACGTGTCGATGTAAGCCAAGCTTCAGATCTGTTAGATTATGACACGGTTACTTCGTTACTTTTAACCGCTAACTTGTGGTCATCTAATCTAATAACTATTATACCGACGCCGGTGGCTCGGCTTCCACGCTTGACTGCGATTACCGAGGGATTCAAGGCCGGTGTACATTGCCGTCACATCCCACCGCGCTTTAAGATTAGAACATTCTGTGATACAAGCAAGAATATGTTATCCGTTAAGAGTACACAATTTGTCACCTGTTGTTCTGTACTAACCACATATTGAATCATGAAGATTTTCGGAAATTTTTCCTTGTTCATTATTCCTACATACCATATTAACCATACAAATGTTCCTTGTCTTTGTCTAGTGTCGCATTTTTACTACCTGTTGTAAATTTTCCTTATTCATGCAATAGACTTGTAATTTAAAAAAAAAATTGTAAAATTCACAAAATAAATAGTCATTCAAACCGTTTAAAAGATATAAAAGCTTCACATAGTTAAGTGAGGTAAAAAATCTTAGAGTACCCACGATCCCGAGCCCCAAGCCTCAAGCGAAGTTCTTTCGTTCGCACATAAATCTTTCATCAGGTCGTTAATTCTTAAAGTACTCCCTTGAATGGAACAAGGATGCACTCGTCGGCGTCTTATGATGCTAGAACATGTTAAATAGCTCTATTCGAATTCCGTAAATGCGAATTACCTTTTTCATTTAATGAGAATGGAAGGATATAAAATAATAAATCTATACTATTGTAATAAAGCGCAAACACACACTTCTATGTTGCCTAAGATGTCAACAATTACAACATATTTTTAATAATTCTTTTTTTAATAAAATGCCCTACACTTACGTTACGCTTTAGGCTATATATTTTCACGCCATTACACTTAGGGGGTAAATATTTTGGATAAAAACCCTTATGTGGGAAAGAAACTATAAGTTGCTGCCAACATTAAGGAAGCAAGGTTTACATGGTTTGTCATCATGTCATGTCATTTTGACATTTTCGATTGATAATTTGACAAATGTTAAAATAAAGTAAAATTTTCATATTTTCATGCGGATGAAGTCGCACGGGGACAACTAGTTAATGATAAGAGGAAAAATGTTGTTGGTAAAAATGAGGATAACAACTGATTTATTATGTTCATTTTCCTGATATACACCTGATTTAAATCACAAAATTAGAACTTTTAAGATTGAATTAATATTTCGTTCTGAAGGTTAAATCTTAACTTTATGCTCAACTAATTAAAAATAAATTAAGTTGCTAATAAAAATATATTTCATTTCAACAGGTATTATTGAAATCCAGTAACACGTATTGATAATGTTGATGTCGCTCTGCCATAACTTTTTGCTCCCAGACTTTAATAAGCGGTTACGCCCTAGAGCGTTCACTCTAGAATGTATTATGCAAATTCTAACGACTTAATACAGGACTTAGCATGCAATTGCATTTATTTAATAAATTACCATTCATTACTCTGTGATTTTTTGTGATTTTGTGATTTATTACGTTAGAAAACTATGTACATAGTTGAAATTTGCCATTTAACTTTGGCATTAAAAGTATTAGACTCATAATAATCTGGAATAACCAGATAAAATTCTATTCTTTCATGTAAAGCTAATGGAGTATTAACATGCATGGATAAAAACAACTATTAACCACATGTTACATCTTATAGACCAAGTTAGAATCAATATAAAAACAAAACGTGTGAACTTGTCGTGTAAAAATAGCATAAACTCGATAGCTTAACCAAATGGCCGCTAGCGATGGTATCTAAGATGCATGTTTCACTAAGCAACTAGTCGAAGACTCGTCTCGTATGACTACATCAATTGCAGAGTATTGCCGCACCAGTGGAAATGTTCATAGACTATCAAAAGAAATAGCAGTCACGGTTACAATTGTGCGGATAGTAACTTTGTGGAAATAGCGTTTAAGTTATACGACGCTGGGACGTGATTCGTTCATAGATTATTTCCGAGTCCGACGGGGATATTTATCTCAGCAACAACGATCTCTCACTGATAACGCTAATCAGGACACAGCCTGCTAATTAAAGAGTAACCAGTAACTAAACCCGTTGCATCGCCGGTCGCAACTAACGCGTTTAGAATGCTTAATAGTGCAGTGTTAACGCGAATTGATATTTCTGCAAACTTAAACCTGCATTACGTTCTTTGAATTCTTTTTATTCTTTGTATTGATATAACTTTTTAAATTACGCATCGATATGAGTAATATAAAAGAACCAGTTAGAAAATGAAATCATTCTAATTTCCGATGAATAATTGTGTGTTCAGTTATCCTTAATAATGTACGCAGATTTGAGCAACGTTAATAAATATTGTGTTGGAGTTTGAAGATGTTTGATGACAGCTACAATCCGAGATATATTTTTTAAATCTTTGACACTTTTTTGACATTAACAGAGTTTTTGGTTATTTTAAAATTGCGAAAATTCTTCAATGCTAGGTAAAGAAATTAGTTAAAACGTTGACGATGTAATTGCACAGAACAGTAGACGACACTGTGAAGGCGTCATAGGCATTTTTCTATATTGTTGTTTCTCTTAATTAGATTTATTATTACAATTAAAGTGTTCGTTTAGTAAGGTGCAACGTTTGTTTGTTACAGAAGCAGAAGGAGCGCGAGGCGCCTGCGTGGCGTCCACCTCACCGCGCACGCTGATGACAAAATAAATTGTGATGCTGACACGTACAGGACCCTATAGGAAATTGCGTCCTAGAGGACGACGGAGGACGTTGTAGCACAACAACTAGTTACATATTAAGTGCAAGTGCCTAAATTGTTATAATAATGTTGGGGAACCGACGTAACTTTATCTTTAGAGTGAGTATCGTCATCAATATTGCCGTGCTTTTGTACGCGGCGCTGCATCTCTCCGGCAATGGTACGCCCGGAGTGGAATGGGTACCTATCACAGTCGACGGTTCCGAAAGGACCGCAGAATTTCGATACCTCAACAGAGACGAGGTGCGGAATGAAACGGAAACTAGACCAATCGAATCGAGTGTTAAAAACATTGAAGAATCTACTTCTCAAAAAACGCCTTCAACGATGGCGACAACCAATAAAACGGCATCGAGCACGGCATCGATTGCAGAATTAGAGAAAAAACTACTTAGTATAGTGCCATCAGAACCAGAAACGACCAATGAAACGATACTCGATATTGTCGACGAGAACGCCTTGACTGACGCGACTCTAGCGCGGCTACGGACGCTCCTCGGCTGCAACGAGAAAGATTTCCTTCCTCAAACTATACAAAGAGGTGACTTTTGGGTGTTGAAAAATTATGTGCGCGCCGACCATGGAATAATACTGTGCCATGAAACTATAACCTACACTACACACGCTGGTTTCGAGTTCCTGGACAACGTGCAGCCTCTCGTTGAAAGGTAAGTGAATGTTGTAACATTAACGATATCCAATTACAACAAAAAAGGAGCGATGATTTTAAAAGCTTTGTAATTGGAGCGATCGTAAAAAGCACTTTCAAATTCAAACTGAAGGTTTTCGTGGCAAAAACAGATTTAAGCGAAATTACATAGACCTAATTAGAATGATTAACATACAACCTTCATAAAATCATTGATATTTAGTTGCGATTTATAATTTAGTTGGAAAACAAGTTTTTTCCCCTTTACTAACTGTTAAGGAATGTGACAAGGTTTAAAAGATTTGCAGTAAACATTATGGTAAAGAGAGAAGGCAAAGCATTTGTATGCTAATAGGCCACAATCAGAATGTCGTCATGATAGTTGGGGATTCTTTGTTGAGCAACCGTTCTGAGTGGTATCCAATTTTGTCTTTGCCAATAACTTCTTGTTTAAGCATTTCTTCATCTGTTATACATTTTTCTAAGGAATTCTGCTCCTTTTAATTGCGTAAGAAATTGAAATAAACTAAATCAATACTATTTCATACAAAAGTCTTTACAACGATAAATTTTATCTGTCTAAAGCAATCAATGGTACAATAACACACAACGCCAGACGTAGCTATCACGAAACAGGTTCTATTGAGATCATATTTTATGTAACACAGATAATAAATATCTGTCTCTATTCTTCGTGAATCATTTTATCATTGTTATATCATAATACAGATTCTTGCTGCGTTAAGTTTTGCTGAAATTTTGCAACGTTGCTACGTTACATTTGCTGGAGCAATTACAAAACGCAATGACCTTTTGTACCGTATGTCATCATTGCCATTATAATAATCCATATTATGAAATTAAGGTCGTCGCTTGGATTGTATTACGATATGCCAACACGTGGATACGATTGTTAGAAACTTGCCTTTATGAAAAGTTTTCGTATGATGCATCGTCATTTTAACTCAAGAATTTATTTCGATATCATAAATGTTCTGTTTCATTAAACATCGCCTTAATGAAATAAAAGGTTTAAGCATGTGGTATGGTAGAATAATATGCAGACATCCGTGCGAAGACCGGTGTACATAATCCATACTAATGTTAAAAATTGGAAGGATTTGTATTTTTAGATTTTTATATGTATCTAAATAACTCAAAAACTACTTGGCCGATTTCAAAACTTCTTTTACCAAAAGCTACGTTGTCAATCAGTAACATAGGTTATACGTTTTTATTATTTCACACGGACGAAGTTGCGAGCCACAACTAGTTTCTTATAAAGCTATTGTTACTGTAGGCTTAGATACCACTGCTAACATTCAGATAAAACGTTTTGTCTATCATTCTATACAAAAAAATTGAGTCCCTCGGTTACGTAAAGCATGTTTGTATGCGACTTGAGGCGAAGGTCGATCGTTACGGGCTGAGGAGCGCGGCTTTGAAGTTCGTGATAAATTCGACATTAAGGTCTAAGGAGCCTATTATTTATACATTAAGGAAAATCAAAGGTTTTACGTATAAAATAAAATGTCTAATCTACGCGATTGATTTATTTTTTTTAATTCACGTCGAAATTTAACGTACCAGCTTAGATTGTATTCTGAAGTAGGATTTTAAAGTTAATTAGAATGTAACAATACTATCAACTCTAAGTATTTAATATTAAAATCATGTTTAGGGCCTGTCCTACCACTGGCCGATAGCTTAAAAATGATGTCACTGTCAAATAAGGGAACAAAATTCGATATTTCCATGACATATTTTATACGTTTGATTGTTATCAGACAATTTACAATTTGGTTAGACTGACACTTACTATTGCACATTGTAAGTTTTGGATGAATGGATGTTTTTTACTACATATCTCCAAAAAGGCTTAATGTATCTCGATGAAATTTAGCTCAGATGTAGAACATAGGCTACTTATTTTAATTCCGTGTATGAAGTCGCTTGCTAAACCTAGTTAAGTTTAAAAATTGCTTACTGTAGTGTTTAATCAAGTAGGTACGTACAAACATCTACGTTGACAGTCGATTGGGTAACAATGGTGCACAAATGACGGCATCTCGTCTCCATTTACCCCACACGCAGCGCGACGCCGCGCCACGCCGCAAAGCGACCCACTAATAAAGGTGTTTCGAAAACCTTGCGTGTTTGGGGTTCCTCGTTATTGCGGTTGTTCACTTACATTATGCGGTTTCGTTGCGTATGTTATATAGTTCTATGTACATAACTGTCGCTTTTAAAAAGTATAGTACTATCCAATCTTTATAGTTGCTCGGATATTGCAAGATGTCATTCGCAGGGCAGATTTTAAGTACGTGCAAACATGCTCTTTGCTACCCACTAGCCATCATAAAGTAACAGTTTGAATTTTTTTATTACTTTATTATAATATATGTAGCAAGTATGTGTTACTTGTCACATGCTTTAGCTAATTTCTTTAGCGATTATTAAAATACACTTTCTGATAATATTTAATTCAATGATTTCTAGTTTCCATGTCTCAGTTGTTTCTAGATGACAAAAATGCAAATGTTTCAACTTGAACTGCAAAGAAATTTCTGAAATGTTGGAGAATGCAGTACAAATGTATTGCATATCAACTTGTACTCTATTTATAAACTAGAAAATGTTTAAATAACCATCTAAAAATAGAACATAAAGCGTCTTTATTGTAAAGACATAAGTTTCAAATTGCCTTGAGTGCTGTATACTCGTTTTTTCCGAACAAAACCTTTAGAAATTACACGTCTAGACTATAGTAGTAATTAAGACTCTTTTTATTTTAAAGACACGCTTCGATTGATCCCTTCGCTGGTCAACGGGTCGTTAAATTTTATAATGAACCCTATAATAAAGCGTTTCAAACGTTTTATTACAGGGTTCGTTATAAAATGGCTCCAATTTACTCTCTAGCCGCCTGACCTTCGACTATTACTGCCTAGATTCTAGACCAGACTAACCATTTATGTACAAACACTTGTGTTATAAAAATAAAAGAGTACGTGCGTGTAATGATTTTTACTATTTACTTGTACTTTTAGTAATGAACGCTTTCTTGTTATTCTTCTCGGCTTCGAACAAGTTTCAAATTGAAGTGTTGAATTTAGATTTTACTAGCTGTTGCCCGCGACTCTGTCCGTGTGGAATTGAAAAAGAAAAACAGTTTTTAACTGAATAAATCTTCCGTATTTCGGAAACGCATTTTATGAAGTTAGCGAACCAATAACATTAACAAATGGTTGACTGCAGCTGGGAAACCGACCATTAGTAATGGTGCGAGTGAACTTTTTTATTAACATAAAGAAACCAGCGCTTGACCACGATTCCACCTAAGCCAAGTAAAGACGCGGCCGAAGGATAGTACGAGTAATAACGTTTTGTATTCAGTATCATAAGTTTTATTTGCATACACGTTTCCTCTGACATATGAAAAGATACACATTATGTCGTCAAGTACAACTTGAGTACGTTTGAATTGTGATTGTATTGGACGTGCTTCTTGCATCTATCATTACTAGGGTTATTGTAAACTTTCACGGGCCACAACTTTGACCCATTTCACTCCTACATTAATGCCACAAAACCAGCGCATGCGCAGGTCGTACGATAGTTCAAAGGAAAACGACACGCATATACATTGAAAGAATTAAATTCCCTTCCCACTTAGATCAAACATCGACCAACAAACCATCTTTCTTCTTATTTCTTACTTGCTAATATTATAAATGCGAAAGCTTAGATAGATGGATGGTAGTTTGTTAGAGTTTATAGCATAAACAGCTGAAGGGATCTCAATGAAATTTGGCATAGATGCAGTGGATAGTCTGAAAGAACACATAGGTTACTCACTTTTTTTTTAATTCCACGCAGACGGAGTCCCAAGTGAAAGCTAGTAAGTTATAATTAGAGTATGTTTATGTGATTTTCGACCTTGTTGCATTTTAAATACTAATCTTCCCTCTTTATAATATTATTATAAAATTAGTTTTGTTAAATAATCAACAAGAATCTGGTAAAGTTGTGTTTAAGCAAAAAAAATGTCACCAAAATGTACATTCTATTATATTCATAATAATGACCATGAAATAAACTTTACATTAACTGAGCTGTCATTTTTAATATTACCGTAATGAAACGAGTAACGAAGCAAACGTATATGAAGCTATGGCATAAATTAACATAAAAATAGCTTTGTTTCAAGTTTTAACTCACCATAAAGCTGACTAATTTATTGATACCGCACGTCTGTAACCAGCATTCAAGCCGTTTTAAACAAGAAAGAATTTCGCAATCAAATAATGCGCTTCTTCAAGATATTTTAGCAGACAATAAACATTATTAAAATATTGCATTTTTTAATAAAAAAAAACATTTTGACGATCGTATCCTTATTATTCCAATGATACACCAGCTATTAAATGAGGTAAAAGAGTTAAAAATTTCACTTGGAGTCATTGCAGATAGTGCCTGTGTGTTGTAAATGTAGAGAGGTCTGTGCCGTTCCCCCGTTGACCCTGACAGTCGCAGATTACGTACGTAATTGCAATTCGTCCGGCGACTACTGGCCACTGCATGACTGGCCACTGGCCACTGCAACTCTAAATCCCGTAACGAGCGGCCATGCGGACTGATTTTATGACATCGGTACTTGTGCTTATTCATAAATAGCGGATTATTTGTTGGCAAATGTTTTGCAATATAGTAAATTACAGTTAGTTATTTCTTTAAATGTCACGTCGTTCTTCAAAAGTCTTACCTTTTACATTGCCACGTATTCATGTACAGTCAGCAAACATGCATGATTTATTTACAAATCTTGAAACATGCACGTCTTCAGTTTCAAAAATATGTAGGCATGTATTCGCCAATAATATGTATTCATAGACGGAAGTCTACAGACCAATCTGTTACCCATTTTTAACCCAAGGCGTATTCAAGTTTTAAAAGCATAGATATTTATGGAGCTGATTGTACACTCCTGTTATTCGGGCAAAAGGCTATTGAAGACAA